ATTATTATTTATTATTATATATATATATATATATATATATATATATATATATATATATATACATACATACATACATTCGACTATTCATAAATCATTTAAATCAAGAAGATGTTAAAGTTGAATTATTTTGTAAATAAAAACTGCATGATATTCGCGATCGATAACGAATCGTGCATATCGATTTATGCGGAACAGATGAAACTTTCGCGAATTAAATTCAAAGAAAAAGTGACAGTGACAGCTTTTGAATTAATCGGCAGTTTCTGAATTAATCCGTCGCAGCCGAATACCGAGAGAGACAACATGGATGTTCGCGAAGTAGCAATATGGCAGTACAGCTGGCCGATAAGTTTCCGAAAGCGTTATGGGTTGACCGGTCGCCCTTTTGAGGACCAGCTGCGTGCTTGTTCTAGGAGTTCGCGTCTAAATAGTCGCCAGGACGTCGACAGTTTCGCAAACTGAAGTTGGACGATAACAGCGTGACGCAAATGTCGCAGAGGGTAAGTTTCATCCCCCCCCCTCCCCAGAAAAGAACACGAGATGACCAGCCGTCGTCGTCGCCAACTTGAATCAATCAAAGGCCAGACTCGCTACATTTATTCGCGGGACAGACAGAGGAGGCTCGCGTGTTTTCCGTTCGACTTGCTCTGAATTCCCGATTCGCTGGACCGCGGAAAAACTTTTCCAACCACGCGATTTCTATGCGAAAACCCCCCCTGATCCTCTGTCTCAGCGGAAGGATCAAGGCGGAATCTTGTCCGAGAGTTAACCAGTCCACGTTTCGATCGAGCAGAAAATTCGTCCCGGAAAGCGACATTCGGATTGCAGGGATAGGAACCAATACAATTTCGGAGAGTTTAATTTTGAATATCATCACAGATTCACGTAATGTAGGTTAATCGAAATGATAGACAGAAATGCCAATATATTATTGTTATTTGTTCCTTTGATATTGATAACCCGAATTTTAATGAATTCATTATACCTGATATTATATCTGAATTCATTATACTTGATAAATAAATCAACATTTTACAGAATTTTTATAAAACGTTTTATTTATTATTAAAGAGATAATTATTAAATAATAAACATCAAGTATTTTCTTAATAAATACAAATAATAAATACAAATAATTTGTGTAATAAATTATGAAAAATTTATAAACAAAATATAATAAAATATTTTTTACACGATTTCTATTTTAAAAAATCTAATCAAAATTTTTATCTCAAAACTTTTAATAAATATATATTTGCAATTTTATTCTAAAAATTCTATTTTATTGTACATAAAAGAAATTAAATAAAGTTTTATATTATATAATTATTCTAATAGTATGTATTAATAAAAAGTTATTAATTTCAAAAATTCTGTAAAAAAACTGTTCATTAAATAATAAAATGTTTTTAAATTGTACTGCTAAAAAAGATTAAAACTACGGCTTTAATTTTATTTATTTCATTCTAGAGAAATGCTTTATTTGTTCATATAAAAATTCCCTTTATGGAGGAATATTTTTTATTTTAACTGAAAAATATCCCTTTCAATCTCTATTCAGTATTATTGAAAGATCAAAAAATGTCTCTATTATACGTGTGACGTTTATAACATCAGATTCATCAAAAAAAGAGTTCCAATAAAATTGGAATGGCAGTCGATGGTACTTCAAATAAAATATTCTTTCCACTTCCATTGAATAATATTACAAACTGGGGAAAAATCAATTTTGATTTGTCTTGAATGGCAAATTCCGAAACTGTACCATGTTTCCAATCGCGGTGAAGTAGCTTCATCTCCGGGTCGAAAGTCGAGACCGGGAAAAAGATTAGACGCAAGGGTCAAAAGAGAATGAATAAACGCCCCGATCCCTTCCTCAGGTTTTCGCTCCGAAAAATACCTGAGGGAGCAATGAATGGAAGAACGTATCTATGATACGAGTGGATACCTTTCAAAAGGACTCATGGGAGAATGAAGCTTATTCGTCATCCTGTCGGCTGATAGGTCGTACCAGCCACCATTGCGCCACCTTAACACACTCCGGAGATCCTCGAGGGCGAACTTCCAATACCAAAAAAAATTAATATATATATATAGCGTCATTCATCCTCTGAAAGAAGTAAATTTACTATAAATGTGCTCGGGGCGCGGTGAGTTCATAGATTAGAAGGCAATAATATCCCCTAAAAAAGAGTCCTGCTAATCTTCATCAATCAAATATTTACGAATATACTTTTGCCTGCGATAACTACTGATTCTATTTTGCGGCGGCTAAATGGTTTATAATGTATTTGAGAATAAAAAAGTATTTTAAAAGCGATATAATAAAATGAAGTATCCAATTGATCAAAGATAAGAAAAAACAGAACTGCAAATAATCAATCGCGATTATTTCTCGTCTCATTAGTCCGGGATTTTTATTGAAATTTGCCGTTTCCAGGCAAAGGAAAGATAACTACAGCAAAAAGTCCGGTTGGATCTCAAATACACGGAATGTCCCTTCAGAAAATAAATTGCTTGAATAATGGAAAAGAATCGCTTGAGTCTGGCTTATGCATCTCTCTGATCTCCTTTCCTTTTCATCAAGGCTTCTAGCCAACAAGATCAACAAAACCGTTCTATCGCGTGTTACTTACACGTAGCCAATCCCAATTGCATTCTTCTCTTTCTATGATTCCATACAACAAGATTTCTTTCGAGCTTTCGCCGATTCTTGCAAATTTGCTTCAGTTTTATTAAAAATATAGACGTATTCTAGTTTTTATCAAAAATGTTTATAACGCAAAAATTTAACTAATAAATTCAAATCTGATTTTTGTCACTTAATCTTCTAACGCGTCGCTCAATCTGTTACAAGATTTATCAACATATACATACGTGAAAGTTTTCTTTATTTATCTGTCAGCACCTCAAGAATTCTTCTCGTGCAGCTTCCCTCGTGTCTGAAGTATCCGCAATGAAAACGAGACGGAAGTCACGCTAAGAATCCGTCACGACTTGCGAAAGGAAAAAAACAAAAGCAAAGGCACAACTATGGCAAAGCCGTGGGGGGAATAAGAAAGCCAAGAAGGAATCCTAAGACGTTCAGTTTATCACGCTGCCAGCTTTAACAAAGCATTCTCGTTTAACGGAGATAACGTTCACCGCGCAGGAAAGAAATCGGAATTCGTGCGACAACTTGGCTCCTAACAAGGATGACTCTTCCGCCTGCCAAAGAGTTTAGCGAGTTTCAATTTTTGTTGTTAGTTTCATGAAACTGTGGATGTTAATAGGAAAGCACATATATTAAAAAATATCACTTTTTTTATCTTATCTCTTATCTAACGTTAGCGTCTCATTTATAGCTATTTTTAATATAATTATAAATTATCTCAGAGAATCTTTAAATTTTTTCCTTTCCCTGATGCAAGGAAGAAATGTTATCTCACTCGAGCTGTTTTACTAGCTGTTTTACTTTAAAATATCGCGTCATGTTCCGCAATACGAGATATGCTGCATAAATCTTAGATGCTCTTGCCGTTTCTTAAGCATATTGATTGACAGATGCAGAACGCTAGAAAATCCGACATTTCGATTCTACGGGTCACTGCCTCTCGCATTGGCATTCTTCTTGAGAAGGTTGCAACCAGCAACCTTCTCAAGCTCCAGAAAGAATTCGTTCTGAAGCTCAATCCGACTCGCGCAATAAGTGTCACTGACCTAACGTGCACGTACTATAAAACAGTCCGCTCGTTTCGTTGCTGAACGTGAAATTTAATTCGGAAGGCAACTCGACAGATACGTAACAAACTCTCGGTTCGTTCTACTTTAATCTTAAAAGAAAGCAATAACGATAAACAAGAGATACTCTTTCTTCCGAACAACAAGATCGAAAAACTTGTCAAGGTCTATAAACTTGCGAGAAGAGAAATTTATAAGAGAAATGCGAAGAAATCTCTACAATACATAATTTAGAATACTGTAATCTGGATTAGTGTGTCAGTGCGGATTAGTTAGTTTATCGCGAGAATATTCGATAGGCACTGAAAGGCATATCTTTCAACGTTAACGCGAAGTCCGAGATCGAAGCTTCGAAGTATTTTAATTTACGATCCCTCGATGTCATGATCGCGAAGGCGGATGTAGGCACGAGTCATCAAAACTATTTCACGTCGCGCCGTGAACCTTTTCAGAGTGTCGTGCTGGAGATGAATCGACTTGGGATGATGGTGGACCTCTCTCACGTCTCAGTGCCCACGATGCTGGCCGCGATGTCGACGTCGAGGGCGCCGGTGATTTTCAGTCACAGCAGCGCTCACGCTCTTTGCAACTCCTCGCGAAATGTGCCTGACCACGCGCTGCGACTTTTGGTAAGCACGTCGACAGCAAATACCGAAGATAACGAACGCGAAAATTAAAGGTCCAAGCACAATGAATCTAGATATCAGTGTCGGTCCACGATAAATATTTAATCTTTAAGCCGTCAGAAATTAACCAATCATAGTCGAGTATTTTTTTCATATTCGATTATAATTGGTCAATTTCTTACTTCTTAAAGCTTAAATCACCTATTGTGGACCGACACTTAGGAACAGAAATAAATACTAAATTTTGAAAATCAAAAATTCGGAATAAAAATTAAATGTAACGCACAATGAATATAAATAAGTATAAAATACAGTGGTATCTCATATTTATACTAGAAATAAGAAATTTGACCAGAAATCTTTTATTATAGAGTTATAAACGAATATTGAAACATTAAATAGACAATAAAGAATATTAAATAGGCAATAAAGAATTTTCCAATGCGCGGAACATTAATGGAACGATTAAGTAACGCATTACAAAGTGCTGTTCTTGTATGACAATACAAGCTTCAATCAATGTAATATGAAACTTATTACAGTATAAATTTCCTGGAAATTTTGTAATGTAATGTCAGTAATTGAATTATTAACTCGATGCATTTTCCTTTCTCAAAACATTTGTACTGTAATAAGCTCCGTATTATCGATATCAATTATATTGTCGTGCAAGAACAACATTTTAAAATGTGTTACTAAATCGTCCCATTAATGTCGTGTGCAATGGAAAATTCATTGTTGCCTATTCAATATTTGTTTATAACTCGATAATGAAAAATTTCTGGCCAATCTTCATGTAACATTTTTTTCTTATTTCTACTTGTAGAATATGTTCCCGTAGTTAAATTCCAGAATATTCTGTATATTATGTGATGATCCAACTGCGAATTAATTATCTCGTAAACATAATCCTAAATTTATAAATTACAAAATGATTAGTAGCATATAACAATCTTTTTTTTAAATTATGTATATAATAAAGACTTATTTCTTGTCTAAATAAATAATCCTTTTATGCCGTACCCAAAAGTTATGATATTAGGAGGAATATGAATATTTTGTTTGCAGGCGCAGACCGGTGGTATAGTTATGGTATCCTTCTATCCCCATTTTATCAGCTGTGGCGAAAAATCAACCCTCGAGGATGTAGCAGGTGAGTAATTATCGCGATAAATTGTATTGTTTTATTTTCATTATTAAAAACAGATATTATACCATGCACCGGTTTATTTGCACCTCACAACGTATTAAATAAAATTTTATGAAATCCAATCAGCTGCAGGTATTATACATGCTTAAAACTCGATATTTGTTTACCGAAATATGCCATTATCTTGAATTTTTGAAATAATGTAACGCGTAATAAAATCCAATATTTGATAAAATCGGCTATTTTCTGTATTCTTTCCGGAATGGAACTGGAAGTGACACTGATTAAAATGGTAAATGCTCTCTTTGTCAATGTTTTTTTCGTCACTATAATTTACTTCGGCGTGCTTTCATTTTTCGTAATTTTAAACACGATAATTGTCATCGTCTCCGTTCATGTTTCAAAATAATTAAAATTAAACTAGTTGAAAGAAATACACAAAAATCACATTCAGTTAGCCTGTTTTTCTTTTTATAATTGACATTCGTCTCATGTGACAAAACCGTAGCATTCAACGTTGCTGTAAAGTGAACATCAGGGAATGTTTCTCTGAAGTGAGTAAATGAGTTTTCGCGTTAGATGCCATTTCTCGCGGGTTACCATCTTATTTGCATTATTATAGAGCGGCTCGAAGTTCCAAAGACATTAACATTTCAGACACCGCTAGTAATGTAAACGCTGCGTGCGTGATATAATTAAATGTGTACGGATCACGGGACTGGGATTTTAATTTAACACACATGAAACTCCACATGGAACTCTGTACGAGATTAAATTAAAACAAAATATAATATTTCTCGGTCAAAATATGACCTCATTTAAATTATTAATTTAGATAGATAGCTTGGGAAAAATAAAATTCCATGGTAGAATAATATTATATAACTTTTTCATAAGTATTTCAAGTATGCTACGTTTTGCAAAGTTAACTGTCTAACTTTTCGTGGAAATCGATCGCGAAACTGAAACGTAAAAGCAAACCCGTAATCCAAAGTTCACACTTTGCGCGATCAAAGCGTCATTTCAAAACGTATCCTGCGAAAACCCAGTATTTCTGCAGGCAAATGTGACAAAAAAGGCGAAATGTCGATTACGCTTCCTGTGAGAGCAGCTAATTTCATTCGTATCGTCAAGCAACGTTAGTTTTTTGTAAACGCTAATGTAAATTTTGATCCACGAAAAGGACGAATCGACATCGTTCATTATCCTCCTCTATATTAGAAAGCAATTTCGCGGTTCAGGAGACGCATAAAACTTCCGCGTAATTCTTAATCCTCGCGTATATAATAAACGACATAATAAATTCTTTAATTTCGTCCATTTTTCGTCCGCTAATCTCCGGGGGATTTCGTGCGCAAAACCAGTCTCGACTCGGAAACCTCAGAAAATTTGTAGTTTTCCTAGGATCGCGATAATCTCTAGGTCGCCATTATCCAGTGTTTTCACGTGTTCCTACGAGAATAAGCGAATAACAATGTTGTCTTAAGATGCAGAAGACGTCTCTCTTATGACAACTGAAAAACACTCACAATTCCGTAATCATACGTGAATGCAGTGAATATCCAGTCGAATAGCACCGCGATCGCATCTTTGATATGTTAATGCAACAAAAGAAAGAAAAAAAAATGATAATTGCTGGTTCAAACGTACCGCGTATCGGACATGGCGTAATCGGGCGTAGCCGGATGCCCGAATAATCCCTTCCTTCCGCAGGCAGCATCTCTAATTGCTTTACATCGACGGTCACCAAGCCGCGAGAAATTGTCCGCGAGGGGTCGCGGAGAGAATTTTGCGCGGAACGGAGTGTGGCGTTAGATAGGCGGGTGTGTGCAATAATAATTTACGGGTAGTTGTAACGACGTCTCTCTCTCTCTCTCTCTCCCCCCCTCCTCTCTCTCTCCGCCTCTCTGTGGCCATCGAGGTATTAACGTTGATGATTGATTTGAACGCTCTCATCATACACTCACCCTTTTCCCTTCTCGCCCTATCCCGGCGCATTTTGCTCTTTCCAGCGGAACATGTTTCACGGTGACCACTGTCATACGCGCAACAATCACCTCCAGTTAATAACAACAGTGCGAATCGCGCATTAGCGCAGCAACTCGTAATTCCCCCGCATTACGTTTGTCATAATTGCTTCTTTGTTTACCGGGTGAATGTAATTTTCCCGATTTGCATTGCCTTGCATGATGAAATCGCGCCAGCAAAGTGCTACATTCGTTTCCGACAATCGGTGTTGTCGTTGACTTATGAATTATTTAGGTAATTATCTAGATGAATAAATGACTTTATTTTATCTTTATCATTAGAATATATATTTTATTTTCATCTAAATCAGGTAAAACAAGTAGGTAAAACGATGTAGGTAAAACAAGTTATTTTTTGTAAATTATTTTAATTAACGTGTAGTGAAATCTACGATACGATTGCAGAAATCATATAACAAATACTGATTGGTGCCAACTAAATAATTATGAAATTTTTATGTATAAGTATGAATCCGATTGTTTTAAATTTAAATATCGTTTCAAATATTTTTCAAGGAATATTATTCAAGGAGCGAGTTCTAAATGCAATACCGGCAATATATGTATTCGGTGCTGCTTTAACCCTTTGCGTTCACGTCGTCATCGCATCGCATCTCTAAATTTCTAAATTTAGTAATTAATAATTCAATAGAATTCCGCAAATATCACAGATCCACCGAAGTCTCTTTCGGTCCATTAATTAAACAATTAGAAGTTTTAAATTTACGCAGGTAAGATTGATTTTCTTCATAAAATACCCTTCGCTTTTACGTCACGTTAAATTGCGAAATTGCCGTTCCAACGACTCACCGTTTACGTAGCGTTGTTTCTTCATTCCCACTTTGTAGGACTTTGTATATATTCTACGCGTGTTCCGCACGCGAGTGCATCAAAATACACTGCATCCCGGAGAGACATTCGCACGTTATTCTGCTCAAACAAACGCGTCAACCGCGCTGTTTACGCCGTACATGCAAATCGAAAGATCTCACAGCAGCCTGTTAATGGAACAACCAACCATCGCGACGCGCGAGATGCGATGCAAACGCAACCTTCTATGTTTATAGTAACATGCAGCAATCACGCGGCAAAGTCATTCGCGTCCTTAACAAAAGCACTTCACAAAGATCCATTATACAAATGGCTCTTGGATCCTTTCTCATTTTCCTGCGAATAGATACGCAATCGATACGACGGGATACGACGTAGTAATCTCCCAACCTTGGCGAAACGGGAGAGACTTTTTCCCGCAATTATTTACATAATCAAACGTACGTAAAATCAGAATTTCCGATCAACGAGGCTGCCTGCCTTGATCTTCTTATTCGCGTGATTTTCCGGCCGCGCTTGGTAACGACATGCGTCGATGTATTATAATCAATTTTGAAAGACCGCACCGAACCGGCCGACACATAATTTACGATATAATAGAGATAACGCGGAAGCAACGGCGGCGCAAACGTGAAAATCGAAATTTGTGACGTTTCTGATATGTTCCGCATCGCGAGCGACTCGAGCCCGAACAAAATTGCGGTGCAATGAATCGCGTCGTTATTCTACAGTTTGATCGGCTATGAATTATGTCATTTATCCGATCGATTATGCATGTCTGCGTGACTGATACGCCGTTATCCATTATGCAGGCTAAACCTTATAAATGCATTAACATTCATTAGACAAGTACTTTTCTGGTTGATTTTTGCCGTTGAATGCCGACGTTACATCGTTGCCGATCGTGAGGAAAAAAGAAAAACGTAACTAACGAGGGTTGGAAGCGAACCGGTTTTGATTATATACTCTACAAAATGAAAAAAAATATTTATTACGGGAGAGAAAAGATTCGATTAACGTTTTCACGAAAAATGATTGACGTTATTTATAAAGACTAATGTAAAATAAATTACATCGGTATCGAATAGTCGCGTCAGGCTGTTTAAACTGAGAATGCATAAAATAAATATGGAAATAATTTTTTAATTAATTCGTGCGATATAAAATAATCCTCTTATATTTTACCGTTTGAAACATTAAACTTTACTGATTATAAATACTGTTCCTTGTAATAACTCGCGATGTAATAAGCGTTTTCAATTTGTCGAATTGACCGAGAAGATAAAACATATATTCATAATTACGATGAGTGAAATTGTCTTTTGAATTTTGTGTCGTTCTAGAAATGTAAATTATACCCGTAATATATTACATTACCGAGGTGTAAATTATATGCGTGCGGGTGCAACCATTTCCGAGTTAACAATAATATCCGTCTGACGGAAATGCAAATTGTTTATGCGTGCGTTTATTGTACCTGTTTAAATTATCACTCGATCTTTATACATCTTCGACGGAGCAAAAGCCATACTTGGAGAAATTTATCTCGGAGAAATTACGTCGACAAATATGATTACCAACGAAATGATTACAAATAAAACCGTTCTCTCGGCTAGCCCGAACCAATGATTATCATCGCGTTTCCATAAATCTTCTTTCCTCGATTTTTTTCTCTCTGCAATTCGACCGCGCTGATTGCAAATTGATTTATCATCCCTCAAGCGACTTTACGCAAACAGGAAGACGAGGCGCTCCGCGCGCGGGATTAGCGAAACTTGTATAAGTTATTCAATTCGCGAGCGCAATATTCTCTTATATTAAAAGCAGGAAATTAATTATGCACATCGTGCAGTATTGCGTTAGCAATTGTGACTAACTAGGCAGCCGGGATATGGGGAGGAAGAGGGGGAGGGAGAGGGAGGAGAAGCATGGCTGCTGCACGTATGACGTTATATATCGAACGTACGCGAAAGAAAATACGCGTCACCGGCGAACAACAATGGAAACGAAGGAGATGCATAATATAAGTGTAGGTAATTTTCTTTGCGGTTCTCGCGCGCAAGAGCGGTAACTCGGCGCGTTATTAGTCGCAGTTGAAAAATCGTCCGGCGGCACATTTCACCGGGGTTCGCGCAGGCAGGCTGCGGTTAGGGTGGTGGAATGTAATTTTCCTCGTTACACGGCAAATGAGCTACGCGAGTTCCGTATATCGTGGTGTACGCCAAGCGCACCGGGCATTACGATTATATACGTAATACATGCAATTTTCGTGATATGTTACAGCGCACATCAATCACGTGCGGAAGATCGCCGGGGTGGATCACGTCGGCATCGGGGCTGGATACGACGGGATCAATTTGTAAGTGCGACATTTGAAATAGCGTGAATGCGTAATTGTATGTGTCAAGCGTGAATGCGAATGCGATAGGCGAATGCGACAGACGAGAAGATTTTTTTGAAGTTTACCTCCGTCGAACGCGGCAATTAAGATAAGGGAGGTGAAAATAAAGCGCGTAATCGATTAAAGGAGCGGCAGCGAGCGATCATTTCGGATGGTAAAAGTACTACCTGCTTTAATTTCAAACGGCGGTCGCTTCGTTTGCATTAAACGGGCACGACTTTTCTCGCCAAGAGAAAACAGAGCTCGATTCGTAAGCGCGTTCCTCCTCGGTGTACCAGTTCCACCGAATTGATTGTGAACTGGTACATGCAGGCGTAGAGAAGTTTTCGGTTAGCTTTGTATGTAGGACGGGGTGTAGATCAATACGTACCGAGCTACCAATCGTTTGCGAGATTTAGAGAACAGTCGAAGTCCCATCCCGAAATTTATGGGAAGAGGAGAGATTACCGGTTCGATGACTATCAAAACGTTCGGTTCGACGTATCTCTCCTTTAACCCGAGCGTAGGATTGAAACAGTAGGAAAATGATATACGAGAGGAAACGTTTAGTCCAAGGCGATTTTATGAATACCATTTGAAGCCCATCAAGTCTCCGGGAGGAAAAATCTATTGCATGCGATGCATTTTTAAGGAAGGCCATACGTAAAAACCATTCTCGCGAAATATCGGATGGTATTCAACCGTTTGTTAAAGAAAAATTGATATTATTTCCTTTTATTATCCTCGCCTTTGTTACACTTTTCATATAGGTTGTTTGGTGGGGAAACGCGGAGTTCTTCTTTGCTGCGCGATAACTCGATGTACAGAATCTGCTAAGTGAAAATCGAATAAACGTACGAGCATCGAGCAATCCCCTTTTGTAAAAAGTGCCGACTCTTTGTGGCGCGCGCATTTGCTAAAATCGCGGCCCTTAGCATTAAGTGAAAAAATTGATAGTAGTGTGGATTCGTGTGTGTGTGTGTGTGTGTGTGTGTGTGCGCGTGTGTGTGCGCGTGTGCGCGCGAGGTGTGTGTATGTGTGTGTGTGTGTGTGTGTGTGTGTGTGTGTGTGTGTGTGTGTGAGAAAGGGGTGGATGGAGCGAACAACTCTAACCGCAAGTAAATTGAGCGTGATAGGGGATAACTAAAAAGTTGTTGAGTTTCCGAGATCCGCATGAAAAATACACGTGGTCGCGTCTGGTGTATATGCTGCAGGATTGAAAAACAGTGTGGATGCATTGAAGCGTGATTTGCAGACCAAACGATAAAGAAGAAAAACGACATGAAAAGTACGCCGCTGATCGAACCGTCGCGATATATGGTTTTCTTGTTCTTGGTATATTTTTGTTCTACGACAATATCGAATACAAATACGGAGAATCGAAAAAGTAAACGTGTACAGCGAATACATCGACGCTGCGAATAATTAATGTCTTCATAACGTTTTCGTTTTCTATAGAAAAATAGTAAATTCAAGTTTAACAGCTAAACGGTTAAATTTAAAATGTCGATTTTATAAAGAGAATATAATATAAACTATATAGCACATATATATATATATATATAAAAATAATAAGGGATCTAATTTAAAAATTTTATATTATTCTAATTTTGACGAGCGCGACTTTTATTTACTTTACATGAGGAAATAATATCAGTCAAAAGATAAAACTGTAAAACGAACGAACGAAGATTAGTAAACGTACAGATAATTAATAAACATACAGGTAATTAATCATTGATATTGATTGGAAATCTCGTACACGTATTGTACACGAATTTTTATATTTTATTACATTACATACATTTATTTCTAGTTTTTTTCGTAGAAGTATTCAATTACCGTGGTTTCAAAATAAAAACACGAATGCTTCGATATCATCTCGTATTTTAAATCAACAAAATTTTCACATATAAATACCTCAATTTCCAATATTATCGACGAAGTTCTCGATACGAGAATATTTTTTAAAAACAATATGGAGATGGAACAATCGTGATTGTAATTAATTGTATTCAGCTAACGAGCATGTTGAGGAGTAAACTCAACTAAATTTTATTACTAAGTTTTACCGAATTTGTGCTTAAAGGGAAGAATAAAAAAATTTCACGTTGTATTTCCAATTTTTTAGATAGTCAATTCGTATCGCGCAGCCATTTAAAACTTATCAACTTTAAATGCGAAACAATCCACATGTTCCATATTGTTTCATTCAAATTCAATTTATTTGCGGTAAGAGCAACGAACAGATCAAAACTTTATTAAAGTGGTTTCACTGGTCCAATCATTGCAAATTGATGTAAACGACGTCATGTCAGATAATGCTCGACGCTGCTTTTTTTTCATTTTTATTTTATTTTATCGCATCCCGTAAAGATTATTCTCCATTTAAATATTTTTTGGCTTCTTTGCACAATCTGAGATTTCTGAATGCGAACGGTTTCGAAAGGAACGACGCGAATGGCAAAGATGCACTTTTGGTGGTGTTATACGAACAGGACTGGAATCTCAAAAGAGATGTCGCCCTGGAATGAAAACAATGCTCGTTCCCTCGACACTCTGTTTCCAGCTTCTCGCGTTACGAAAGAAAGGAGTTTTAATATCTGTCGTGGACATTCAGGGTTTAAAGTTACGCCACTCGTGATAGAAAAAAATCTGAAACAGCTACAAGTCCTCTAACATGTTTGCGCTTGGTTAAGAAATGCACTGTAAAACAACAGAATATAAAGGCGTCATCGGAAACTCGAGAAGGAAGAGCATGCACCGTTTCCTGTTATTCGCGCATATACAAGGTGGCTCCGAACGTTTTGGCCAGATTTTGAGATTTTATAGGAAATTTGATTCTGAACAAAAAGTTTCCTACAAAATCTCAAAATCTGATCAAAACATTCGAGGCCACCCTGCATAGGCATACACTATTTCTGTCCCTTTCAAGCTTTTCGCAATGCATCCGTACAATAAAAATAAAAATTGATGGCAATATTGATAGTATATCTAATATCTTCTTTCTCAAACATGCGAAAAGTAAACGCTCGATCAAATTTTTTAGAAAGGCGAGGAGCATTTCGTTCGCCAGAGGACTTTTATTCGTAGTGAATTTGCCACAAATAAATTCGATAACGTGCTTTCATTGCAGACAAAAACCGTTCTCTCGCAAGTATATTTAATTTTGGAGATAAAACTATGTTATTTCCGTGTCAGAGGGATCACGTACAGCGAATCGTACGGTAAAACGTTTCAGCTGACATTCGTGGTTGAAATTTCAACGTGTTAATCGCAATAGCCAATACTAGCAGAAACTAGCAGATGAAGAGCTATAAAATGTTTTTTCTAAAATCCTTTTACCGATGTTATCGCATAGTTTGAACGAATTTCTATAATCTTTTATATAAATATTTTTCTTACACCACACACACACACACACACACACACACACACACACACACACACACACACACACACACACACACACACACACACACACACACACACCGCGATCGCAATAATATAAAAAAATTCTCCAATAGTTTTGCATTTTTTTTCGAAGCCAGAATAAAACTTGTAAAAATCTTTAGAAATATCCATGAAAAAAGATACATGTCTTCTGAAAAATTTCAGTCAACTTAATTATACAAGCTAAACGAGAAATAGTCGCTAATTAATAATAAACAATTTGGGAAGGAGTCACGTTTACCATTGACAAATTTGCACGTCAGCTATTTGCCAAATTAATCAGCAATTTGTCCCACGGAAAGGAAATTACGCGATCCTCGCATTTCATGCAGAAACCGCGCTGGCAACTGCATTAGAAACAGTCATGCTGAATCCACGGCAGAAACGCCGCGTTCTTAATTGCACGTTAAATTAACTCATCGGTTGACAGCGCGTGGTTAAAATTTCAACGAGCTAATCGGGAGGAACCGTTCCGCAGGGAAACCCTCGATTCGCGGGTAGCGTTGGCTAGTGGCTCATTGCCCTCGCATAGGAAACTGGGCCGAAATACATGAGAGCCGAGAGCACGACACTATTTATTCTTCGGCGATCAATGCGTTTATTGCTACGCCCGCCCGTTGCATTTCCACTTCGTTCAGCCGTTTCAGTTGGTGAATTTTACCACGTCCAGCGCAATAAATGACTTCGCTAAAGCAAATAACAAAATAATGTGTAATACCGGTTGCTTTGTTACCTTGAAAGTCGAATCGACTAATTCGCAACAATTTCGCTAGACTAGAACCCCAAAAAAGATAGTTAGTTTTGAATTTAATTTAAATTTTCTGTCAATGACCTTAATTTTTATTCGACCAAACAAAATGATGCAACAAGAGATATTTGTCTTAAAATTAAAATCTGTTTAAGTTTATTTTATAATATTCTCGGACAAATTGAATTCAGTAATGAGTCTTGCATTATAAAAATTCTGGGCGTTCTAGTCAAAGTTATGTCTTCTATTTAATATCTAAAAAAAAGCTACTAGCACTGCTGTAGCCAAGATGGAAGGAAGCCATCGTCTTCGTCTGAGCGAGCCGTTAAAATTTCAGTTGGTTAATCGTAGAAGGTATCCGTCTCATCGGCTATACAAACTCTGCTCTCACGTGGGAGCAAGAAGCGATGGGAATATTCGTACGAAGAGATGGACCGGAAAAAGCGTTGGAGGATGTGCTTAATTATTTCTAAGGATGGAGAAAGAGGAAGTGGGTCACGCGCGGAAATAGACGGCGGGACATATAGGAAGCACGAAAGCGAAGAGCTTAAAACTGACAGGACGTGGCGCCGCGGATAGTCCAATCGGCCAATAAGCTTTTACGCTAAATTAAAATTCATATCGACGCCTTTAGCGACCGGTTGTAGCATCGTATCTAAGAGTAGTAGCTTATGAACGAGCAAAAGTCTCAGTTATCGCGTCGCACATATCGTTAGAACAAAAACATATAGCAAATCTAAAGTTTTAAAGGAAAGGCTGTACAGGAAACACTATGTGCGGAAACACTATTTGCACAATTTGCGAACGTGTTGACGAAAAATATAAAAAAAAAAAAACAGTTTTTTTCATAAACATGAAGATCTGAAAGAAAAATTCAAATTAAAAATGCAAACAAAGGAGTAAAATTAAAGAGAGCAACGAGCCACTATTTACAAATTTGTTGCAAACAATACAAATTTAATTTTACAAATTTTATTAATTTTATATAATTATTACAATATTGTTTTTTATGTATAACTTCAAACGGATTTTGTTTCGACAAAATTTCAATATAACGCTGAATTAATATAACAAATTAAAAATTCAAATGGAAGCATTGGCCATTAAGGCAATTTATAATTAATTTCGAATTCGCACGAGAAACGCAAGTGAAATTGTGTAGGGGCCGCATTCTACACGTATACTTGATATCAGAAAATAAATGTTACGTCCAAAGTCTTATCGTCACTTAACATCCAAGTCACGATCGCGAAAAAGGACGAAGCGATCGTCGATGGACACTTCCTGCCTCGGTTTTCCCAGGAGAAACCGAGATCCGCGTGTCGTTTCTTTCGCGAAACGATCCACCGGGCTTCGCGCTTTTCATCCCCGTCTATAAATCACTGTCACTAGGGCTGAGCGAAACGTATTTTCCCACGGAAACGGCATTTTTGAATTCGATTCGGTCGCACCGACGGGCAAATAGACGAGGTACGAGCAAGACGAGTAAAAAAGTAAAAAAAGCGAGACCCACTCCCCACTTCCCCACCTCCCTTCCCACGCCCGAGAAAGGGGCGAATCGATGTCCGCTAACCGCGTTGTCGTTGTTCGATGGCGGACTTTTACGAGGTCCGCGACGTGGGGACACATTTTTACTACGGATTTAGCCCGCATAAATTCGCCGGAAGTGCCCGAAGGAAGGGTGCTTCGACGTGACGAAAAGTATCCGCGCGCGAGAACACGGATACATGCATGGATACACGCTCTCTCCGCTCCGGACTCGATACCAATCCCGATTGACAGAGAAACGGCAGACAGGATTGGAATTTCGCGAATTGGAACAACGTTCGTGACCGTGGTCAGCCGACGGCTCTCTACAGCGGCACCCCGGGTTCTCGGACCGTCACGTTTCGACAGGCTACACCCACGACGAGCGATTCGCGACAGGTCAATATTTTCATCAGTGTACGGTCGCCCGGGGCACGATTGTTTATTTGTAACTGTCGTTACATAACAATTTCGTTACATTACACTGTCCGTACATCTCGACGTCCGCATGTTACTCTCTACGCGCATCGAGTAATTTATAGCTGTACATAATTCTCCTTTCTTGATCATTTTGATCGTTACTCTTCATGATTTTCGTGATTGAAATTTTACATACGATCCGATGGAAAGTATCACCAGTTGTAAACAACGTTATTTTGTGAAAATATAGCGAGTTACGTTGAATATATTACGCCCCTTGGGGACACGGTTTTCATTTGTTTTTCCATGTGTAATCATAGACAAAAGAAATTATACGCCGTGCAAAGTTTTGCACCTCGAATAACTTCTAGATAAAACATTCTTTATCTGTGCTTCCTAGAGCCCTAGGGAATCTGCAAATGAGCTCTTATTGCCCACGTAAAAAAGCACGGTTTAAACTGAATTCATAAATTTTCGACAAATACATAAACCCAATAAATTTTTGGTAAATGTTTTTATTTCGTAAAAATTCTCGCCTCGAAAAAGCCTAACAATTTCCATTTTTCGATAAATATTACTGACGTCACGTCTCAGAGCCTGACAAACATTTCCAAAAACCACCAACACATCCTAGCCGAATATGATTATCGAAGATCATATGCGCATTGTTCTCGGATCGCGCGCGATCATCTCACGTTTACAATCAGTACAATTCATGATGATGGACATACTCGATTTGGAAATTTCCGAAATTGGAATAACGGCCCTCTGGATGCGGTCGGCCGATGCGTACAATATACAGTTGCATAACTGCCAGTTTCAGCCGAAACACGACGCGCCATGAATAAGTCTCTAACCGCTCTTGTTGGTCCGACATTGTCAGTCGAGCAGCTTTCGACAGCTCGTCCCTGTTCGCTCCACCTCCCCCACCCTCCCCCCTCCCGCCTCGCGTTGTTGTCATCGGGTCTTCTACGAGCTCTCG